GTGACTTCTTTGCTGGCATTGTCTAAAATTGAAGTTGACAATGTTGTAAATTAAATTGGATGATATAAAGTGAATTTTCTCGTGTTATCGATGTGATGGTCACGTTTTTTTGAAAGTAAAAAATAGATGAAATATATTTTCATTCATAAATTGAGTTTTAAATTTGATTTTTTTAAATAAATATTAATTTAATATTATATTTTTTTTATAAAAAAAGAAGAAGATGATATAAAGTGTAATGAAAAAGAAATATTAGAAACAAACACCGATTCAAATTCACCCACAATTATTTTAGTTTGCCTTAGGTTTGCGTGGTTTGCAAGTCAGAAATTTAGTTAAGGTAATAATAGTATGTGACCAACTATTCGTAATGTATACGAATAATTTTTATATTTTATTTTATGGGTAGATATGCATATAAATTTTTTTAATATATTTGATAATAAATTATATAAGAGTAAATAGTTATTTTTTTAAAATATATTCTCATTTCATTTAAAATTTGAATATAAAATTTTAAATTTTAAATTTAAACTCTTAATTAATTAAATTACTCTTAATTTATAATTAAATATGCATACAGTGTTAATCTCTAAAGAGATGACTTAATAATTAAAATTTAAAATTTTAAGTTAAAAATATTAAATTTGAGTTTTAAATCGAGTGAAAAAAAATTTAAAAAAAAGGAAAGACAATTTTATCTTGTATAATTTATTCAAATGTATTTTAAAAGAATTTAAATTACATATAAAATTATAAAAAAAACATACATAAAAATGACCTTTTAATCATTTTTCATTTATGTACTCATCTCATTTAAAAAATTAATTCATTAAATGTTGAAAATCTGAGTTATGTAAGTCGGAAGGTATGGACGTTCACAAAAAAAGAGGAAAGTATGATGTGCTGATCTCACTTGATTAGGACTAATTAATATTAACTAATCTGGTTTTTCCAAATAAGCCAAACGGTTTTAGACCTACTCGAACTTTATGTGGTGGACCCTAAAGCCTAAAGGCTACTCTTAGGGAGGAAAAAAAATGTTATCTAATTTTTAGTGCGTGAAATTCATTTATGCATCTCTCTCAAGATTAGTTTAAAATACATTAAAATCTTCCGAATTTTTGTTCTTGTATCTCAACATTCAGCAAATGGTATTATACTTTAGAGGAAATTTTATATGGTGGAGAATATAAATCATATCAACCAATTGAGTCGAGAGAGTGTGAAAATTAGATCCAAACAGTCTGACTCAATCACTGCCTCAAGTCAATGGGTAAGTAAGAAAAACAGAATTGCGTATTTTGTACGGTCGATTTTTTTTT